GTGTGCCTGTAGAATAGGAATAATGGTGCCGCAGGGCTGAACAAGCTGCCTGGGGTGCCCAGGCAGACAGGGTGTTTGGTATTGCTGGTCCTGCAGCACCCCAGCACCGGCACAGCCCTCACCCACTGCCTCTGCCTCCTGCCCAGAGGGTTTTTGTGCCGAGGCAGCCGTGCAGCCGGCGCGGGGCAGGCAGCCGGCACTGAGCCGCTCTTTGGTGCTCACCTCTTTGCCCCTCTCCCTTGCTGCTTCCTGCCGAGGCCGGCTCTGCTGATAGTCGCTGACTGCGCCTGGATGAGGCTCCCGCTCTTCACGCCTGCTGGCACTCGCCTCCCCGGTTCCTGACACCCGCGTCTCCTGGCAGGCGCCGGGGGAGCAAGGGAAGATGTGCGCTTCGGAGCCCGCTGGCTCTGCTCCCTCGCCAGGCTGGGGAGCCGCACAGCCACACCTGGGGCTGCGAGCTTTAGATGTCTTGGGGAAGCTTTGCCTGCCGGAGGCTTTCGCCAAGGGAGGGCAAGGCATGCAGCGAGATAAACGCGTGTGTGGGCTTCGGCTTGTTTGAAAGATGCCTCCTCTCCTGCTGGCTATATCCCACCTGCTGAGGTTCAGCCCTGCTGCAAGAGCAGCTTGGCTGCTCTCCAGGGCAGGGCCGGACTGGGGAGGGTGCGGGGGGCTCATGGTGGCAGCAGTGCCTCCAGGCAGGGAGCAGGGTGCCGCGCCAGCATCGCCCCATCCTACTGCTGCTTGACAGTAGCCCAGGGGCTTTGGTGGGTGCCGGGGAGCTGTGCCACCCTCAGACAGGACAGCTGGTCCCAGTGCCGGTCTGCAGGAGCACATCTCCTCCCACCCCTGCGTAGTCTCCTTTATCTCCCCTCCGGTATTTTCTGGGATTCGTACCCCCGCAGCCCCGCTCTGGCTGGCTCGGACACCAGGCAGCAACTCATCGCACCACGAGCGAGGACCACGATATGCCCCATGGACCCCATCCTCACGCGTGGCCCTGCTCTCCTTAGCAGCCCGCTCTCCTTTCCTCCTCCTTTTCCTCCTCCTGCTCCCCTCCCAGCGCCTCTGATATCCGGGTGCCATTATCGTTATTTGACCAGCTTGAAAGTTTACACAAAGGCAGGTTGGGGAATCTGCCGGCAGCATGGGGCTGGCTGCTGCCATAAACAACCGCCCCGGAGCTGGACTCTGCCTGCCCTGGGGCTGGAGAGATTTGTCCCAGGTGCCGTCCCCCATGCCCGAGCCTGCCGGGCGCGGGGCTGGGAGTCTGCTGAGACCAAACAAAACCGGGTGAAACCCTGCAAAACTGCAACTCTTCCTGCAGGCAAAGGCATTTCTGGAACCTGTTCTCCTGTGTATTTGCATCCCCTAAACAGACTACCAAGGTGGAATTCAAATTCTCTGTTCAGCTCCAGGACCTGGAAACCCAAATTCCCCTGCGCTCATAGCTGAAGTCCTGCTGGCTGTTGGCAGCTGACCTGGCAGTTCCCGGGGGTTCATTACTGCTGCTGCTGTAATCGGACTTTGTCCTGCCTCCAGCCCTCGCACAAGCATCTGGTCCTTCTCTCCCAGACTCAGTAAACCTTTGGAGAGCCCGTTTACATTACGGATAGCCTGATATATTCAACAAGAGGCAATATATCAGCAATTTAGTTATTGTGGATTAGGTCTTGAATATCCCGGGGATATAATGTTGGTCTTTCTCACCTTGTGTGTAGGAGGACTAATGGTAAATTATCTGGATGGTTTACATTTTCTGGTTTGTATTGGAGCTCCCAAGGACCAATTTATCCTGATTGAATTGCAAACAAGGCTTACTGTCATCTCAGATCCAGAGGCCAGGTCTCTCCATAAATGAATTCAGAGCAATTCAGGTTACCCCAAATTTTTCCTATCGATGGGATAATGGCATAAATCCTGCTAATGTTTAGACTGGAAATTGTTTGCAGCAACCTGAGCTTGACTGATGGCTGCAATAGCAGAAAGAATCAGAATTTGTGTCCTGAGGTGAGGGTGGGAAGAGCTGGAAGCCCGGCCCTTCTGCCGGTGGGCACGCCGCAGACACTGTGTGCTTGCAGGGACGTTTTGAAACATGGGGATCGTGCTAGTGACCCGCCTTGGCACTGGCTTTTCAGCATCCAGGATGCCAGTAACTTTTCCGTGCTGAGTGGGCAGCTGTGGCTGGAGGCCCAGGCTCTCTTTGGGCTAAAAAGCAAGGAAACAAGGAGGAAAAAGCGTGCGCTTGTCTGGTTTGTGCTTGTGGCCTCAAGGTTTCCCATGGCACTTCCCTCCCCTTGCACTGAACAAGCCCTGAGAGATGGGGTATGTGGCGGCGGCATAAGCGTCACGCTGGCTCTTGGCACGCTGGGGCTGTATTTGCTCCCTAAGAATATCCCTGCTGCTGTCCCCGCACCGAGGGGGCTTTGCCTGCGCTGTGAGTGTTGTGTAAACACTGCAGGACGCGGAGCGGGTTCAGCGTGTACTTCCTGCGAACGCGCTTCACCTGCAAACCCGCCGTAATTAAAAACAAGGGGCAGCCAGACCAGGGCGGCTGCACCGCGCTCGCTCCAGCACAGCTGGCACTCAGCACTAATTTGGGGAGAGTTTGGACTGTGCTGTACTGATGCTGCCGCGCTCACGCCAGCCAGCATCTCCAGGGTCCTCTGGCTGTGCCGTGCTGTGCCGCACCACGCCGTGCCATGCTGTCTGTCTGGAGGGTCCCTCCTCGCCCGGCCGCCTGTGCTGCCTCGCCCCCACGCAGGGGAGCCCCGCACCATGCCCACGTCCCTGCACATGAGCACGGTGCGGAGCGGGGCTGCGGTGAGATCCCCTCTCTGCACAGCTCTCCGCTCTGGTAAACACTCCCAACAGCCCAGCTTAAGCACTTGACAGTGTTTATAAAGCAGCTTGCAGCAAACAGACTTGGAAGTGCAGAACAAGTTGGTGTTTACACAAGCGACTAATTATTTATTTGAAAATCCTGTGGATGAGCTGTGGGCTGTAACGACAAGCACATGGGGAGCGCTGTGCTCCTGCCCCAGCAGCACTCGGCAGAGTCGCAGCAGGGACACGGTGAAAAGTTCAAAGCCATCGGGGCGGGAGGACAATGGCAGCACTCTGCAGTGCCCGATGGCCTCCGGGCCTCACCGGCACACGTGAGCCAAAGCTGCCATGAGGTACCTGCTCCGGGGCACATCTCGGCATTGAGGCACATGGTGCTACGAGGCCCGGCAGTACCCGGGTCGTGTCTCCCCTCAGCAGCTGACTCAGGATGCTGCCAGCCTGCTACCGCTGCTCTGGGCAGCCCTCTCCGTTCAGGTATTTTGCTGCCATAGCCGTAACCGCCCTACAGCTGGGCTAGGGCAGGGGAGCTGCTCCGGCCGGCGGCTCCTGGCCACGTCCCCCACCCCACGGTGGGCATGGGAGGGGGCCGGCACCCCGGGGCCCGTGTCCATCCCGCAGGCAGTGCGCGAGCTGCGGCCGGGCTTCGTTCCAGCACCATAGCCGCTGGCCATTTGGGGCACTGGCAATTGCACAGTTATTATAAAGGGCTTTAAAACATTTTCTGTTTCATTTGACCTCACAGAGTGAATATTGTCACCTTTTTTCCCGCACAATGTCAGCCGTCGGTGGGGCTTTGCTCTGTCAGCTGCAGAAAGAAGAGTGTGGCCCTGCCTGGCAGTGCCAGAGCTCTTGGTGCAGCCCGGAGGTCGCCCGTCCTGTGCCCCAGCTGCAGGGCACACGGAAACCCACCTCCCGGGTCATTTCCCGGGGGCGCAGCAGACTGCTCCGCAGCAGCCCTGCCTGCGTTGCCCAAGTCGGGCAGCACAGCCGGCAGGAGCAAGATCTCGGATGCTCCAGGGTGAGGACGGAGCATGCAGCAGCTCCCAGGCTGGCTGCGCCTGGAGCCCGGCGCACCCCGCTGCCATCCAGCTGCGCTGGGCTTTATTTCTCCGGGCATGCCTGTCGCATGGCCCTGTCCTACCATGCATGTTGGGCAACTCACCGCCGCCGCTTGGCAAAGGCAGCGCAGCACTTACAGCCACGCTCGCTGCCGAACGCCGGGCTTCCTCCGCCGGCAGGGCTGTGCAAGAGCCGGTGAGCCCTGGGCAGAGCAGCTCCTGTGCTCGGCCCCACTCAGCACTGCCTCTGCCCGCGCAGGCAGCGCTGACCCGTCCCTGCTGCTCTGGGGGAACGGGAGCTGAGAGGTTTGGAAATTCCCTCCGAGCAGAAACGATCCCACCCTGTCCCCAGACAGGCCTGTCTCCAGCTTGGGACTCAGGCTCGCTTTCTGCTCGGCTCAACTACCAGCCCCAGAGGTGCCCACTTGATGGGAAACATCTTGTGTGCTTGGCAGTCCGCAGAGGCCATCTGCTACTCGAGGAGGGGCGGCCGAGGGGGACTGGCACTATTTTAAACAAGTTACAGCTATAACCGTATGCAGCATTGGCAGATGGCAAAGCTGCGTTAGGCGTTTCTACATGTGCTAACTCTTATTAAGCAACGCAGTGGCTTGTGGATGAGGTTGGAGGGCGATTCACCCTGCACCGCTCCGGGTGCCACCGTCTGCCTGCACCCCCTGCATGCCGCTCCCCCAGTTCGCCCCACAGATTCTGCGCTCGCCCGCTGCAGTGCTGAGCCCAGCTGTTACGGGAGCGATGTCGACTGTCGAGTTAATCTGTTCTCCTCTTCCTTTGCAGTTCCTGGGAGCGCACTTGGAAACTGCAAGCAGCTAACGCTTGCTGCCAGAGCCCCCAGATGGGACTAGAGCCAAGCTCCTGCGCTCCTTACAGGGATGAAGGTAGAGCCATGTTACCTGCTACCTAAGCTCGCTGTTGCTGATATAGTTTGTGGATATGGTCCTGTACCAGGCTTCGTGCACAGACTCTCAGCTCTGATCCAGCCTGAGACGTTTTAGCGGCAGCAGAGAGATCCCCAGCTGTGGAGCGGGCTCCTCTGACCACCCTGCGACGGAGGGGCTGCAGCGCTGGAGAGTTACTATGCAGCTTGGACTGTTTGTGGTGGTGGTTTTTCTAAGCTCGATGGATCTAACAGGCAGCAGCAAAGTGGTGAAGGGCAAGAGGCAAAGACGAAGTATGTATGAAATGCTTTTCTTCTCTACTTCTCGTGATGCTGTATGGTTCGTGCAGATGGTGAATGTGCTTACCAACGCAGAGAGCTGGGCAGAGGCTCGGGGTGCCCCGCGAGCCCTCGGAGCTCCTCAAATCCCACTCCTGTGCAGAGATGTGCACTGCCCTGTTCCACTGGACCGGCCACAGCCCCGAGCTGCAGGCAATTGCGCCGGGGCCTGCAGGCTGGGGCTTGGGGGCGGGGCTTGGCCACGGGTGGTCCCG